TCAGAGATGACATACCGGAGGCAGGTAAGCATTCTCAGTTCAGGATTCCAACAATTTTGATTGGTAAATATTTTTTTGGGAGCACGTGCCAAGTCCATGATGCCGTGGTGCATCGCGGTGCATCGTGTTGCATCGTGGATCGTGGTGCATCGTGCATCGTGGTGCATTTCAAATGCACCATGCTACCCCGGATTTTTGCGTATGTCCGGGTTGGCATGGTGCATCGTGGTGCACTTTTTTTGTTTGTTTTAAAAAAGAACGCGCCTCAAGCCATGGCGTGAAGACAGATGTCTTCTCTAGCCAGTCCGTCTACCGTCTTGCCTGATAATTACTGAAATGGGATCGACGTAGTCCAGCTTTTTACACCAATTGCCTTTAGTAGAGCTCAGAAAGTAAAACATGGATTCAACCCTGGAAGGTCTCTCGGAAGAACAACGCCAGGAGGCTCTCGCACTAGCGGCTGTGGCACAACGTGCTGAGGAACGAGCGGAACGGCGGGCACTCGAACGAGCGAAGCAGCAAAAAGCCAAGGAGAAACAGCAGGCAAATATGAAAAAGAAAGAAAGCGCTTTTTTTTCAAAAAGTAGGAGCTCGTCCAACAACTTTATCACTTATATTCCAAAGAAGAAGCGACAAAAGATGGGTAAAAAATCTTCACAGGGTAGCGACGGTGCGCAATCATCGCAAACTAGAGTTTTAGCTCCTGAAATCCTCAAAGACACAACAACTACAAGGGAAGATTCCGTGTCTGGTAATGTGAATGTGACATCAACGGCGTGGACTCAAAAGGAGCGTGATTCAGTGCGTCAGACTTATCTGGGAAAAACTTCGTCGAATCTCGCGCAACAAGCTAAGACTAGTCCAAGTAAGAAGAAAAAGAAAAAGACAACGCTTCGAACGAAGAAGGCTACTTTCCGCTTCACATGGGATGACACTGATGACACTCTTGATGCCAATGATCCTTTGTACAGCCATAGTTTGAGTATTGCTGCCAACCGAAAGCGAAATGTGACGCATCAATCCGGTGATGACTCATTAAAGTCGGCACACTCTCTCCACACCAAACCACTTGGTACAATGACATCTCGTGATTGGCGAATCCTCAGAGAAAATTACGAGATCGTTGTCAAAGGAGGAAGAGCCCCGCCCCCGCTGCGAAACTTTCGAGAAGCAAATTTACATCCTACTCTCATCGATGCGCTCGAAAATGTCATGGGCTACAAATCTCCCACCGCTATCCAACGCCAGGCAATCCCGATCGGTCTGCAGAGGAGGGATATGATCGGCATAGCTGAAACAGGTAGTGGGAAAACATGTGCGTTCGGTGTACCGGTAAGACCCTTTTTGTTGTGACATGGTGGGGCCATTCGAGACTCACATTTCATTTCTTGAACAGCTACTACAGTATTTGCTGTCATTGCCTCATCGGATACTAGATAGAGTTGCAGACGAAGGTCCTCTTGCCCTGGTCATGGCTCCTACCCGCGAGCTTGCACTACAAATTCATGGAGAGTTTGAAAAGATGCTCAGCCGACAATCACGCATTCGAGCTATTTCGGTTGTAGGGGGTCAGAGCATCCAACATCAAGCACAGCAACTTCGGGAAGGTGTGCATGCTGTCATTGGTACTCCTGGTCGCATCAACGACTGCATTGAGATGTCCTATCTGGTTTTGAACCAATGCTGCTACGTCGTGGCTGACGAGGCGGACCGTATGGTTGATATGGGATTTGCACCTCAAATGGAGTCCATCCTTGATGCGATGGGCGGAGCTCTGAAGTCTGAAAACGAGCAGGAAGCCTACAAACAAGAAGAGTTGGACTTGACGAATGGCGAGGGTTTGCCAAAGCATCGGCTGATGAGCATGTTTACCGCCACGATGCCTTTGGAAGTTGAAAGGATTGCAAAACAGTACCTACGGCATCCTGCAATCATTAGTATTGGTGATCAAGATTCAGTGAAAAATGCTCGGATCGTCCAGCGTGTCATTTATTTATCTGGTCCGTCAAAGAAAGAGGCGGCTTTGAGAGACTTAATCTTGAACCCTCGTTATTTGCGAGAGAAGGTTATTGTCTTTGTAAATGAAAAGAAGAACGCTGATGGTGTAGGCAGGATCGTAGAACGCACCGGGCGTACTTGTGTAGTTTTGCATGGAGGAAAGTCACAGGAGCAGCGGGAAGAGAACTTGTTGAGATTTCGGCAGGGAAATGCTGTTCTCGTTGCTACAGACGTCGCAGGCCGGGGGTTGGACGTCAGTGATGTGGCCCATGTTATCAATTACGACCTTCCAACCCGCAGCATCGATTCCTACTGTCATCGTATTGGACGAACTGGGCGTGCCGGTAAGGAAGGGTTGGCTACCTCGCTTATGACAGACGAGGATGAAGGAATAATGGTTGCGCTCAAGAGTTACTTGGAAGCAACTGGGAATCCAGTCCCTGAGAAGCTCGCAAGGCATCGTGCAGCGAACGCAAGTAGTCTTGGAAATTTGATCTATTAGCTTTTCAATTCCAACTAGTTAAGAAGAATATTTAGTTTAAAATACTTGGTAAAGACCTCCTGAACATGATCATTTTTTCTCCATATCCATAGTACGATTTCGTTGATGGTGGAGCTAGACAGTTTACTTGGATTTAGGTTTTCAACATTTTTCATAGAGTACTGTAGTTTTAGGTTTTTAGCTTGTCATGTTAGTCGATGAGAGGATTCTCAACAAAAAACTGAGAATTGGCAACTATAAGGCTAAAAAGATTGCTTTTCAAATGTTGCGAAAAGAAGATCCAAGTGCACCATCTAGCTCAGCTAAAGATTGCGAATGTTGTGTGCAGAAGTCAAAGGGGAAAATAGTTCGTCCAAGGTGTAATACTGCCTACTATCTGACCTCAAACTACCTCAAGCGTGCAGCTGTGAGAATGTTGAGAAAATTGGAGGTTTGTTCGTTGACTCATAAAGCTGGGATGGACAAACAGGACCTGTAATGTGGCGTTGACCAAGATGTTGTCGACACGATGCATACCTTTAAATACATACATTGATCCTTACCTTAAAAAACATCAGATTTTCACATGCTCCCTATGTGTATTACATACTGACAACTCTGAATGCTGGAAGGAGAATTTTCTTTTTTCTATGCTTTCTCTAAGAAGCAATCTATTGTTGAGACCGCCACATACGGATCTGAATTTGTTGCTGCAAGGTAGCAATACACTTTGAGATATCTTGGAGTACCAATCCAAGCTCGAAGCTACATGTTTGTGAACAATTCATCCAGACCTGACGCAAAGCTCCACAAGCGACATGTCGCGCTGTCATTTCACCGTGTAAGAGAGGCTGTTGCATCCAACATAGTCATCATTTACAGCAATTTCGGAACATCTGTAATGACTACAGCAAATCTACAGCAAATTTACAGCAAATCTACAGCAAATTTACAGCAAATTTATGATTTAAAAGAGAAGATATTTTTTTTATATAAGTCCGAATATCAAAACACGACGTGAAGCGTTTTATAAACAACGATTCAATTCTATGAAAAAAGGAGATTTTTGGTTTGCTACCCCTGCAGAAAGAGTGAGAAAATTGGTCTGTCGCGCATGCATGCTCAGATTCACAACAAATTGCGGCATATCCCTGGAACACCCGGCAAATGTTCAGACCGAGTATTTTCGGGACACTGATCGCAAAGTTTGACGTGCTCGTGACCGGAGAAATAAAATTATATTTTTAGCTTCGAAAAATCTATGTTATTTTCCTTTAACTATTAATGACATATTATTATATGTGATGATTTATCAAATAGGGACTTATGGACACAGATGACCGATTGGTCATTGTGACTTTTTCTGAGTTATAACTCAGATCACAACGGAATCCTGAG